GCAGGGGGTAGTGGCGGGGGCCCCGGCGGTGCACGTAGGCCGCCAGCCACCACTGCACCGTCATGTTCCAGTGCTCCCAGTGCCCTCCCAGTGCCCCCCCAGTGCCCCCAGTGCCCCTCCCAGCGCCCCCAGTGCCCCCGTGCCCGGCGGCACCTTGATGTGGAACTCCAGGTTCTCGTCCATGGCGTAGATGTGGTTGAAGATGTCGCGGGCGATGCGGGGGATGATCCCCATCTGCTGCGGGTCGTGCAGCTTCCCCTGGGGGCACAGCGACATGGGGGGTGACAGGGCCCCCGTGCCCCCCGAGGGACCCCAGGGCCCCCCAGAGCACCCCCAAACTCCTCAGTGCCCCCCAAAGCACCCCCAAACTCCCCAGGGCCCCCCAACCAGAGCCATCACAGACCGCCCCAACCACCCCCGGGACCCCCAAAAACCTCCCGGGACCCCAAAACATCCCCCGGGATCCCCAAAACCCCCCAGGACCCCCAAACATCCCCCAGGACACCCAAAAACACCCCGGGACACTCAAACACCCCTCGGGACCCCCAAACACCCTCGGGGACCCCAGGGGCATCACAGACCCCCTCCAAACCCCAAGGGACCCCCCCTGGGAACCCCAAATGTCCCCGACCCTCCCCAGATCACCTCGGAGCCCTCCGGGGTACCCCAAAAACACCAAAGGATCTCAGAGACACCCCAAAAACCCCGGGGGCCGCAGTGACCCCCAAGGGACACCCCAAAAACCCCGGGGGCCGCAGTGACCCCCAAGGGACACCCCAAAAACCCAGGGAACCTCAGTGACCCCCCCCAAAGTCCTGCAGAGCTCCCGAGGCCTTCTGGGCACGCCCAGGACCCCCCAGGCCAGCGCTCCCTGGTGTCCCCACGCTGTCCCCACACTGTCCCCGGGTTGTCCCACCCAGGGCTGTCCCCACGCTGTCCCTGGCTATCCCGGGCTGCTCCCCCACTGTCCCCTGGCTGTCCCCTCTCTGTCTCCTGGCTGTCCCCTACTGTCCCCGTGCTGTGTCCCACGCTGTCCCGGGCTATCCCCAGGCTCTCCCGGGCTGTCCCGGGTTGTCCCCACGCTGTCCCCAGGCTGTCCCCGGCTCTCCCGGGCTGTCCCACCCAGGGCTGTCCCCACGCTGTCCCGGGCTGTCTCCAAGCTCTCCCCGGGCTCTCCCCGAGCTGTCCCCGCTCTGTCCCCGCTCTGTCCCCATGTCCCCTCTGTCCCCGCGTCCCTCACCCTTGACGATCTGCATGGCACACGCGTGGTACACCTGCTCCTGCGTGGTGTTCGGGGGGAACACGCGGTCAAAGACGTACGGCTTGCCCTGGGGGGACAAGGGACACGCAGGGGGGTCACCGGGCAGAGAGAGACCCCCGGTCACCGGGCAGAGAGGACACCCCAAAAACCCCGGGGGCCGCAGTGACCCCCAAGGGACACCCCAAAAACCCAGGGAACCTCAGTGACCCCCAAGGGACACCCCAAAAACCCCGGGGGCCGCAGTGACCCCCAAGGGACACCCCAAAAACCCAGGGAACCTCAGTGACCCCCAAGGGACACCCCAAAAACCCCGGGGGCCGCAGTGACCCCCAAGGGACACCCCAAAAACCCAGGGAACCTCAGTGACCCCCCCCAAAGTCCTGCAGAGCTCCCGAGGCCTTCTGGGCACGCCCAGGACCCCCCAGGCCAGCGCTCCCTGGTGTCCCCACGCTGTCCCCACACTGTCCCCGGGTTGTCCCACCCACGGCTGTCCCCACGCTGTCCTCAGGCTCTCCCCGGGCTGTCCCTGGTGTCCCCAGGCTGTCCCCACGCTGTCCCCTCTCTGTCCCCTGGCTATCCCGGGCTGCTCCCCCACTGTCCCCTGGCTGTCCCCTCTCTGTCTCCTGGCTGTCCCCTACTGTCCCCGTGCTGTGTCCCACGCTGTCCCGGGCTATCCCCAGGCTCTCCCCGGGCTGTCCCGGGTTGTCCCCACGCTGTCTCCAGGCTGTCCCCGGCTCTCCCGGGCTGTCCCACCCAGGGCTGTCCCCACGCTGTCCCTGGCTATCCCGGGCTGCTCCCCCACTGTCCCTGGGCTGTCCCCACGCTGTCCCCTCTCTGTCCCCTGGCTGTTCCGGGCTGTATCCTGGCTGTCCCCTACTGTCCCCGTGCTGTGTCCCACGCTGTCCCGGGCTATCCCCAGGCTCTCCCGGGCTGTCCCGGGTTGTCCCCACGCTGTCCCGGGCTGTCCCCAGGCTCTCCCGGGCTGTCCCGGGTTGTCCCCACGCTGTCCCCACGCTGTCCCCACGCTGTCCCCGGCTATCCCGGGCTGTTCTCCTTCTGTCCCCAGCTGTCGCGGGCTGTCCCCGGGCTGTCTCCAAGCTCTCCCCGGGCTCTCCCCGAGCTGTCCCCGCTCTGTCCCCTCTCTGTCCCCTGGCTGTTCCGGGCTGTATCCTGGCTGTCCCCTACTGTCCCCGTGCTGTGTCCCACGCTGTCCCGGGCTATCCCCAGGCTCTCCCCGGGCTGTCCCGGGTTGTCCCCACGCTGTCCCGGGCTGTCCCCAGGCTCTCCCGGGCTGTCCCGGGTTGTCCCCACGCTGTCCCCACGCTGTCCCCACGCTGTCCCCGGCTATCCCGGGCTGTTCTCCTTCTGTCCCCAGCTGTCGCGGGCTGTCCCCGGGCTGTGTCCAAGCTCTCCCCGGGCTCTCCCCGAGCTGTGCCCGCTCTGTCCCCGCTCTGTCCCCATGTCCCCTCTGTCCCGCGTCCCTCACCCTTGACGATCTGCATGGCACACGCGTGGTACACCTGCTCCTGCGTGGTGTTCGGGGGGAACACGCGGTCAAAGACGTACGGCTTGCCCTGGGGGGACAAGGGACACGCAGGGGGGTCACCGGCCAGAGAGAGACCCCCGAGGAGCCGGGGTCACCGGGCAGAGAGAGACCCCCGAGTCAAGGGAATCACCGGCCAGAGAGACCCCCGGTCACCGGGCAGAGAGAGACCCCCGAGTCAAGGGAATCACCGGCCAGAGAGAGCCCCGCGGACCCGGGGTCACCAGGCAGAGCCCCCCCGCTCGGGGGTCACCAGGCAGAGACCCCCGAGGCGCGGGGGGCTGGGCCAGGGTTAGGGTTAGGTGAGTCCCGCTGAGGGGGAGGCTGTGGGGTCTCATTCTGTGCCCCTTGTGCCCCCCCTGAACCCCCCACCCATGGGCCCAGCCCCCCAATATCCACAGAGCCCCCCCCGTCCAAATCCTCCCCCAAGGGACACCCCAAAAACCCAGGGAACCTCAGTGACCCCCAAGGGACACCCCAAAAACCCCGGGGGCCGCAGTGACCCCCAAGGGACACCCCAAAAACCCAGGGAACCTCAGTGACCCCCAAGGGACACCCCAAAAACCCCGGGGGCCGCAGTGACCCCCAAGGGACACCCCAAAAACCCAGGGAACCTCAGTGACCCCCCCCAAAGTCCTGCAGAGCTCCCGAGGCCTTCTGGGCACGCCCAGGACCCCCCAGGCCAGCGCTCCCTGGTGTCCCCACGCTGTCCCCACACTGTCCCCGGGTTGTCCCACCCACGGCTGTCCCCACGCTGTCCTCAGGCTCTCCCCGGGCTGTCCCTGGTGTCCCCAGGCTGTCCCCACGCTGTCCCCTCTCTGTCCCCTGGCTATCCCGGGCTGCTCCCCCACTGTCCCTGGGCTGTCCCCACGCTGTCCCCTCTCTGTCCCCTGGCTGTTCCGGGCTGTATCCTGGCTGTCCCCTACTGTCCCCGTGCTGTGTCCCACGCTGTCCCGGGCTATCCCCAGGCTCTCCCCGGGCTGTCCCGGGTTGTCCCCACGCTGTCCCCACGCTGTCCCCACGCTGTCCCCGGCTATCCCGGGCTGTTCTCCTTCTGTCCCCAGCTGTCGCGGGCTGTCCCCGGGCTGTGTCCAAGCTCTCCCCGGGCTCTCCCCGAGCTGTCCCCGCTCTGTCCCCGCTCTGTCCCCATGTCCCCTCTGTCCCCGCGTCCCTCACCCTTGACGATCTGCATGGCACACGCGTGGTACACCTGCTCCTGCGTGGTGTTCGGGGGGAACACGCGGTCAAAGACGTACGGCTTGCCCTGGGGGGACAAGGGACACGCAGGGGGGTCACCGGCCAGAGAGAGACCCCCGAGGAGCCGGGGTCACCGGGCAGAGAGAGACCGGGAATCACCGGCCAGAGAGACCCCCGGGGAGCCGGGGTCACCGGGCAGAGAGATACCCCCGGTCACCGGCCAGAGAGACCCCCGGTCACCGGGCAGAGAGAGACCCCCGAGTCAAGGGAATCACCGGCCAGAGAGACCCCCGAGGAGCCGGGGTCACCAGGCAGAGCCCCCCCGCTCGGGGGTCACCAGGCAGAGACCCCCGAGGCGCGGGGGGCTGGGCCAGGGTTAGGGTTAGGTGAGTCCCGCTGAGGGGGAGGCTGTGGGGTCTCATTCTGTGCCCCTTGTGCCCCCCCTGAACCCCCACCATGGGCCGAGCCCCCCGATGTCCACAGAGACCCCCCCGTCCAAATCCTCTCACAGAGCCCCGGGACCCTCCAGACTTCCCCAGAACTCCCCGTGGATCC